TGTACGTGATGTATAACTCCCAAGAAATTTCAAAGTTGGATCCAAAATCCAGGAAATGCAAATTCTTGGGGTATGCTAATGGTGTAAAGGGGTATCGCTTGTGGGATCCCACTGCCCGTAAAGTGATCATCAACAGGGATGTTATCTTTGTAGAAGATAAACTACAAAGAAAAGAAGATGATGATAGCACTGAAAATTCAAAGAATACACAATATATGTGGAAAATGAGGTTGAACAATGAGATTCTTCAGAAGCAGAACCATCACATGATGAACAAGAACCAGATAGTTCTGAAACTCCAACAACTCGTCAATCAGATCGTGTGAGAAGACGTCCCAATTGGCACTCAAATTATGTTATAGAAGGAAATATTGCATACTGCCTTTTAACAGAGGACGGTGAGCCATCAAAATACCAGGAGGCAATAAACAGCTCTAATGTTTCATTATGGATGATGGTGATGCAAGAAGAAATAGAAGCCCTTCATAAAAATAATACATGGGACCTAGTACCACTACCACAAGGAATGAAGCCAATTGGTAACAAATGGGTCTTCAAAATCAAGCGAAATGGTGACGATCAAGTAGAGAGGTATCGTGCAAGACTGGTGGTAAAAGGATATGCTCAAAAGAAGGTATTGATTTCAATGAAATATTTTCTCCTGTGGTTCGACTAACAACAGTTCGAGTAGTTTTGGCAATGTGTGCTACATTGAACTTACATCTAGAGCAACTAGATGTTAAAAAAACTTTTCTTCATGGAAATCTTGAAGAAGAGATTTACATGCTCCAGCCTGAAGGTTTTAAAGAAGACGAAAAGAAGAACTTGGTTTGCAGGTTGAACAAATCTCTATACGGTGTAAAGCATGCGACGAGGTGTTAGTATAAGAGATTTGATTCTTTCATTATGTGCCTTGGATACAACAGACTTAATGTAGACCCTTGTGCTTATTTCAAGAGGTCTGGTGATAACGATTTTGTTATATTGTTGTTGTATGTGGATGACATGTTGGTTGTAGGACCCAACAAGATCATATTGAAGAATTGAAGGCACAACTGGCTAGGGAATTTGAAATGAAGGACTTGGGATCAATAAACAATATTCTAGGGATGCAAATTCACCGAGACAGAAGTAATAGGAAGATTTGGCTTTCACAAAAGAATTACTTGAAGAAGATCTTGTCAAGATTCAACATGCAAGATTGTAAGCCAATTTCTACCCCTCTTCCTATTAACTTTAAATTATCCTCCAGTATGAGTACTAGCAGTGAAGAATAGAGGATGAAGATGTCTCGAGTACCGTATGCATCGGAAGTGGGAAGTTTAATGCTCGCTATGATATCCACAAGACCAGACATTGCACAAGCAGTGGGAGTGGTTAGTCGGTACATGGCGAATCCAGGCAAAGAGCATTAGAATACAGTAAAGAGGATCCTGAGATGCATCAAAGGGACCTCAAATGTTGCATTATGTTACGGAGGATCAAATTTACTAATCAATGGTTATGTAGATTCTGACTATGCAAGAGATTTGGATAATAGCAAATCTACTACAGAATATGTGTTCAAAGTTGCTGGTGCAGCTGTAAGTTGGGTTTCAAAATTGCAGTCAGTTGTGGCTACATCCACAACAGATGCAGAATATGTAGCAGCTACACAAGCCAGTAAAGAAGCAATTTGGTTGAAGATGCTATTGGAGAAGCTTGGGCACAATCAAGAGTATGTATCTCTGTTTTGTGACAGTCAAAGCGCCTTGCATCTAGCAAGGAATCCAGCATTTCATTCAAGGACAAAGCACATACAAGTTCAGTACCATTTCATTCGTGAAAAGGTGGAAGAAAGGACGATAGATATGCAGAAGATCCATACCAAAGACAACTTAGCAGATTTCATGACGAATGCGATCAATACTGATAAATTTACTTGGTGTCTATCCTCTTGTAGCCTGTCAGAGACGTAAGCAACATGATGGTACATGGTAGAAAGAATGGTGTGAAGATATGATTTTTCCAATCAAATCTTCAAGTGGGAGATTGTTGAAAATCAATGCACCGAAAGTGCATGGTTTGAAAAAAAAATTGAATTTTGTCAACAAATGTAGGCACCAAAAATTCGGTGTAGAATTTGTTGATTTTTTATATGGGCAAATTACAAATTCTAGTCACTAAAATTTAGGGTATTTACAAATTAATCTTTAAGCTTCAACTATAAATACACTAGCTCATTTAGCTTCAAAACCATCTCAAATCATTCTAGCTTTCTCCCAATACTAGAGAATTTAGAGAGTTTCTTGAGAGTTGTTTTTCTCTTTTTTATCCTATATTATTTAGGGGTTTTCCACGTAAATTTTGTGTCCACTTTATCTCTATTTTTTTATTTTCTCAAATTATCAGTTGCGGATTTTGCTCTATCCGATAGCCGTCTTCCGCAACAAAAAAGTCTAACTACCTTTCATTATTCTTTTCATGTATAAAATAGGATTATTTATAATTAAATAATTGTGATGTGTTTGAATATTGTTTGAGTATGTATGTACCAACGTGTTTTTTTTGTAATTTAGAGTGGAAATATAAATGAAATTCTTGTTTGGGGCGTTTATGATAACTGGTTTTGGTCGACTGCAGAAGTTTTTGACAGTTTTAGGGATAAGACAGGCAATTTCAGGCCATCTCTATGTAATGATATCAAGGCAATGCTGAGCTTGTATGAAGCTTCTTACCACTGTTTCGAAGGAGAAAGCATCATGGAGGAAGCTTGGCACTTCACGTCTAAACATCTCAAACATGTCGATAAGGTTGATTGTGTCGATCCGATTCTGGCCATACAACTCAACCATGCCCTGGAGATTCCCCTACACTGGAGAATGCCAAGGTTGGAAGCAAGTTGGTACATGGATATATATGAAAGAAGAGCCAACCTCAACCCCACTTGTAATTCAGGAGGAATTAAAGAGAGGTGATGTTGCCAAATCTATCCAATGTTACATGCGTGAACATGGAGTCTCCGAGGAAGCTACACGTCAACAAATTAAGAATCTAATGAGAGAGGCATGGAAGAAGATAAATGTGCAACGAGGTTCTGCGTGCCCATTAACCAGCACTGTCCGGGAACCATGGTGATCTGGTGAGGGGTGCTCATTGTTTTTATCAACATGGAGATGGACGTGGTTATCAAAACCACGAGACAAACATTACGCCAAGTCATTTCTTTTTGATCCTATACCTATGTAGAATTAATGTTTTGTTCTTTAAAAAAATCATAAAGAATCTTCCATATAGTGGAAAGGGAAGCAAAGAACTATAGTTCGGGGTGGTGTTCACCTCGTAACTCGGTTTCTTTGAACCAAATATCGAATGAATGATACTTTCCCTTCAAATCAAAGAGCGTTAGATTTACAAAAGGTTTAACCAATTCTCAAGCAAACCCTTTCCTTTAAGCAGGGAATCCCCTTTAATTTCAATGCAAGTCACTTCTTTATTCCATCAAACACCACTCTTATATCTTAATGTTTTTCAGTTTGAGTTTCAACTCCCAATTCATAATCTTTTCCCCCATTAAACCCAAACCTTCCTTTACTGCAAAATCATGCCTCTCGAGACAAGCAAGCCTGACCAGTCCACTGGTGAAGGAGATAAACACAGACACTTGAACAAAGAAATCAAAGACATGGTCTCTTCCATAACTCGCCGCCTTGGTGGTGGTGTTGATGATGATGGTGCTGGAATCGTCACACTTGCCGGGAACAATGTCGGGGCCACAATGAGAAGTGAGTTGGATGAAGAATCCGATCCCCGGTATGGGAATTCGGTTAGAGATCAGGCTGATGCACTGAGTACATATGTGAACAGCAATTTCCAAGCAGTTAACAATTCAATCATGTTCGGCAGTAGCTACAATGCCAATGATCCAGGCGTCCATTTGGATATCTCAGATGTTGTCGAACATCAAGGCAAGAAGGCAGCAGATAAGCCCAGAAGGAGGGGAAAGGAAAAGAGAGACCAGACGTGAACATTGCAATCAAGTTAATGCTAAAGACGAGTCCTTTTTTCTAAGTCAATATAGTAGCATAAAATAAATCTTTGTATTGCTTTGTCATATTTGAGACTACGTTTGCATGTAAAAGGTGAAGCTTAGTTTGATAATGGCGTGTTTATTTTAAGTATTGTTTCAATAAATTAAATTGACAGATCCATTAATTGATTCGGTAAATATAGATATTTATATTATCTTGTATTTAAATCTTAACATTTATCTAAATGTGAACACTTTTCTACTTAATAAAAATAAATACATTTTTATTATTAACTAAATAACTTATTTATATTAAAAATATTAAGTTATTCTAATTTAAAAAATCTAAAATTGACACTTTTACTCAACATATTTTCCACATATTATCACCAAATAATATTTAGTTGATAATATAAACAATTTAATTAAATTGAAAGTGTACGATTTTTTTACACATCTGGAGTAAATACAAGACTCTCAACCAAATAATTAACTATGAAATTTCATACCCCTGTCGAAGCTCGAACACATGACCTCTAGGGAGATTAATGAGTCTCTTAACCACTGAGATCAATTGGTTCGTGCAAAAGTACATGATTTAAATGAAAGTTAAAATTAAATTAATCTAGAATATAAATTACCCTCCCTCGTAATTAATAGCTAATACGCTGAAAATATTTATTAGATCCTCTATCATAGAGATTGATTTAAATTAATTCTTCCAATAAATAGATCGATTTAATATTAAACTAATTTGTTTAACTAATATTTATTATTTAAAAATATCATAATATTAACTTTTCATTTTTCATAACCATTAAAACTTCAAAAATGTCACCTCTATTATACAATAAATGGCGTTTATTTAATATAAATGTTAACTCTAGTAAAATTTGGCATAATATATGAATTCAATGAATATATTTAATAAACAAATAGATTAATTTTAATTGATTCCTAATAGAAAGACCTATATCTCTAAATACACATTTCTAACCAACCATAGTGCATATGCAGAACCTTTGACATGCCCACGTGATACGTCAAAACGAAATTCAAAATTTGATTAATAAATTCATCTAATCTTACAACTTATAAATAACCATAATGATCCTACGATAGAAAGAGACTAAAAGTCATATTGTAAATACCTCTAATCAAGATTGGCAGAGAGGCCGAGACCCTTAAGAACTCAATACCTTCTTCTTTATTAATTTTCTTCAATATAAAATCATCGATCAACAATTGTCTCCTTATCGACTGCAACTCTCTACACAAATAAAAAAAAGAATTAACCTCCAACAATCTAGGACCCAACTTATTGTGATAAACAAATATGATATAAAAATAATCGATATATGAAACTTATATGGTTTTTCCCTATTAAGCAAAAATCCTTCAAGATTGAACCATAACATCATTATCATCTGGAACGAAAGACACATGCAAAGATACTTTGCCTCATTTGGACCATTCCAAATTAAATAGGTGGACTATTAAGTCTTTATTATTTTATTCAAACTCATAAGCCTGTAGAATGGCAACACACCACTTATTTGCTGATTTTTTCATATTTCTCGGTCAAATAAATGGATGCAAGTAACTTTCTGGCTGCTACTTGGAAAATATCCAAGTTGACTCCCATTTTTCTTTACACCTCCCTCAACCATATTCATATATAAAAGCCACTAAGGAAGTTTGATTTCAGAAACTAAGGACGACCCAATTTTCTCTGGACACAGTATAATTCACTTCTTTTTCTTTTTCAGTTCAAATCAGGATCACTTAGAGTCATGATTTGGGTTTCAAAATGCAGAAGCAAAGCAATCAAGCTTCTGTTTTTAATAGCACCAATTAGGTCAACCATATTCCCAACCTTGCTAAATATTTGAGGGGGTTAGGTAAAGTTGAAGTATACATATCATATTTCATTTGCTGACCCCTTTTTTTTGTTAGGGGTGGGTGTACAATGACAGAAGCAAGACTGACCGTCTATCTCTAAACTAACTGATAGCACTAATCCATGCTAGTGATACTCTCTCAAACCAAATGATGCTGAAGAATGTATATTCAAGCAACAGACCTTAATTATCATAGAGAGAGAGAGTGTGTGTGTATTTGCAGAAAAGGAAAGGCCAACCAACATATCACAAGTTCACAACAAATTTTTGGAGTCCCGTCATTTGAATATTTTCCAGATTTCATCAGTATTGAATTGTATTTCCGAATGAAGGCTAGATACATTCCTAGCTTATAGAAAACAAATTATCTACTGAAAGGATGCATTTATTTATTACCGATGACTGCAAAATGAGATTTAAATGTAGTAGAAATAGCCACGTTAAACTTCATATACGAGATTATCAGCAAATTTGCAATCCATACCCTTAATACTAAATTATCCAAAGACTAAATCTGAACAGTTAGAAACATACCGTATCATTAGCATTAAGGCCGCTGCTATCATTAGCAGCAAACTTCCAAGCCAGTGTCGCCGCCAGCTTTGCTTCATTACTGGAAGATTCGCTGAATCTCAGAAAACCTTAGCCCCTCTCTAGATCCAGCCACTATACGGCGTCAAATCATTAAAATTTCATGCCAAACAGTAAACGGAATAAGTCAAATGAGAATTTATCCATCTATCAAATCATCGTCAAAACATTAAAATCTCCTGCCAAACAATAAACGAAATAAGTTGATGAGAATTTTACTCTCAATCAAATCCAGACCAAGCAAAAATCCTCCTGATTCAACAACAAATCTATCTCGAACGAACACACAAATCCAGTGCATCCAATACTAGTAAACTAAAAAGGTAACGAGAAGAGCAATAGATCACATTTCCAGTTCACTGATTTTTCATTTAGTTTCTTTTCTCAATAAAATGAACTGAATTTCACCAAACTAAAACTCAGTAGACAGCAAATAAAAGTCCGATTAAAGGGGGGAAATAACAAAATTAAGACTGCAATGCAACAGCGGGAGTGAATTACTGCATTGAATGAAGTGATTTTGAAGAGCCCCGGTTTAGAAGAAACTATATAATATCAGAAATGGCGAAGAGCTAAAGCAAACTTTGAAAAGAAAAGAAAAATCTCTATGGACGAAACTGGAAAGAGATGCAGAGAAACAAACCAACCATTTAGAGAGAATAATTAAGGGACATTGACACCGACAATTTGAAAGTTCTATTCCTTGCTCAGCGCGGCTTCCTCTGTTTTAAGCTCGGCTTGGGCCAAATGATTATTAATATAGTTATTCTGCATCATTCAAACCGAGTTTTCAACTTTTCATGCAACAAAAGGCCAAAATAAATAAGTAAAGGCAAACTCCATCATTAGTCATCAACATATATTTCTCTCTTATTTTGGTCACCTCGACCATTACTCTTAAGCAACCATTTTTTTTATTTGTCCATCACCATATTAATTAAATAAAATAAAAGAAAATTCTAGTAGTGTTATGTGTCATCATCATAGTGATTAAATAAAAATATTAATTATTAATATGTGAATTACTAGTAAAGAGAGAGAATGACGTGAAAATTCAAAAAAAAATAACACATCAATATTATTATAAATAAGATAGAAGAAAAATGTAATATTAATGATACTTTGGTTAAAATAATTAATTTGGTTACCAAAATAAGAGAGAAGTGATATGTTGAGGACTAATGATATAGTTTGCCCAATAAATAAATAAACCATTTCATTAGAATATCTTTGTCTATTACTTGTCCATTTTCCAATTCATCTTGCTCCTAACAACATATTTAAATTTGGAAATTTTACATATTCATTACATCGGTGAAAATTTCCTTTATCCCCTATTTCAAAGAAATAATATATCGAAAACAGAATTATGTTTTAAGTGAAACTATCTGTAATTTTTAGGAATGAAAGGCGAATGTTGTTCTTAGCGTTGAAAACAAATGGAATATATGATGTATATACCATTTATTCTATATAGAATGTCCAATTTATTGTGGTGAGATGGAATATAGGATGTGTGTTACCATTTATTCTTTTTCTAGTGCACAAATAAGGTGATTACATTGGTTAAGGGATGGTTGTTGTATCTTAAAGTCTTGAATTTGAGTATAGTGTCTGTAAAGGTGTTTAAATATTCATTGTTAAATGATTGAGATACTTCCAAACATATATTATCTTATAATCACATCAGACTAATAAAAGAAATCGTTTTTTAATTGTTAAAGTGTTATTTAGACAACCAGGGGTAAGATGAGGTGCGTTAATCTCACCTCAAATTCCCGAAATAATATGATATTAAATTATTTAATTGGTAGATTGTAATATTACTTAAAAAGTAATATTATTAAATTATTTTTATTAAGTAAAGAGGTATTACAATTTTAAGGTAAATGTCAGGATTTGAACTCATACTAGGTGAGAACATCTTTAATCATTCGATCAATTAATGGATCTCTTACTAAATTGTCTTTATGACATTATATATTTTTTATAATAATTTAATGTATATAACAAAATTTATATAAATTAATCATAAATAAGTAGTTATATAATGAATAAAATATAGATGCAAGTATAAATATATAATTAATTTTTTATATAAAATTTAACGTATTTATTAAAATAATTACTACTTAACATATATTTTGATGTAATCTTAATGGTAATTTTTTATCTTTCACCTCCGTCCTCACCATCATTGTAGCATTTGAATCCAAACACATATTTCACCATTGATTTTAATCTCACCGTTCTGGTATCCAATCTCTTTGTCATAGTAATTAATCTCTTTGTTACTGCTATTTTCATTTTCACCAAAATTAATTTCACAATCCATCCAAATAAATCTTAATGATTTTTATGAAATCGGTTTGATATAATTTATTGTAGAGTTTTTCAAATAAAATTAAAATAGTAATGCATGCCTTTAAGGTAAAGATGGAATTAAAATCCATATATCAATTTTTGACTCAAAAATTTCATTAAATTATTGTTAATGAAAAAAAACATTCAATTTTATATTGATTAAAATAATTTTATGTTGTAAGGAGTTTATGGTCACATAATTTGTGACACTCAGGAATTGGTAATTTATAAGAGTATAATATCCGATGATAAGAAACTATAATTTTATAAATATGATAATATTTGTAAATGTCTTATTTATTTGAATAATACATGTCAAATTGTTAGTTATTACAAACCTAAAAACATAAATAAATAAAAAACATCCCAACAACAATTATTTTTTATTTAAATAGTACATGCAAATTTGATAATAAAAAATACTTTATAATCACCCAATAAACATAAATAAATAAAGGATGAACAAAATATTTTTAAATTGAAAGAAAACAGCTGTAAACGGAGCCAAGCCGAGAGGGAAAACCTTTTTATCTTTCTCATAATTGACTGAGACATAAGGCAATTAGCACTTCTGGATTGTCGGTACTCTCTTTTAAGAGTAAACTACACGGGAGACCACCAAATTATGTTTAAAAGTCAATGTGACCACCGAATTATTTTTTTTCAATCAGACCATCGGCAGTTAATTTTTAACAGATGTGGTGACGTGTCCGTTAATAAATTTGGCATAATTATATATTTGATCCTTAATATTTACATATTTTAATTCAATTAAATAAATTTAACTATCCAATTAGAACATAACACGTGTCAATACATGATTGGAATGTTTTATTTATGAATTTTAAATTATTTAATTAAATAATTTTTTAACCAATCAGGTGGTGAAATGAAAATAGAAGAACAAAGATGTGCTCAAGGAGAATCGAACATGCGTTTATGGGGAAAAGAGTAACCAAACGCTTAAATCATTGGGCCAAAGGTCCCCAATGATTTTAACTTACAACAATGTATATTTAACTTGTAAAAGTTTGTTGCTGATAAAAAATTAAACAAATTATTTGTTAAAATAAATTATTTTTTTTAACCGTTAATTGAACCGAAATTTATTTGAAAATTATTAACCAAACTGAATTAACCGAATTTTTTTCTTTAACCATTAATCGAACCGAATTTATTTGGAAATTATTAACCGAATAAAATAAATTATTTTTCTTTAACCTTTAATCGAACCGAAATTTATTTGAAAATTATTAACCGAACCAAATTAATCAAAAAAATTTCTTTAACATTAATCAAATCGAAATTATTTGACCGTTAATCGAACCTAAATTTATTTGAAAATTATTAACCGATTTTTTTCTTTAACCATTAATCGAACCGAAATTATTTGACCATTAATCGAACCGAAATTTATTTGAAAATTATTAACCGAATCGAATTAACCAAAAAATTTCTTTAACCATTAATCGAACCGAAATTTATTTAAACAAATAATTTTTTTAATTTTTTTTATCATTAACAAACTTTTACAAGTCAAATACAAATTGTTGTAAGTTTAAACTATTGGGGACCTTAGGTTCAATGGTTTGGCTGCCTGATTTCTCCTATCCCCCATAGACGTAATTCAATTCTCCCTGAGCACATTTTTGTTCTTCTATTTTTTTCCATTTCAATTGAGTGGTGACACGTGTCACCACCTGATTGATTAAAAAATCATTTAATTAAATAATTTAAAATTCATAAATAAAATTTTTCAATCATGTATTGACATGTGTCATGTTCTAATTGGATAGTTAAATTTATTTAATTGAATTAAAATAGTGACTAAATTGATAGAATATGTAAATATTAAGGATCAAATATATAATTATACCAATTTATTAGCGGAAACGTCACCACATCTGTTAAAAATTAACGACTCGGTGGTCTGATTGAATTAATTAAAAAGTTTGGTGGTCTGATTGAGACAAAAAATAGTTCGATGGTCACATTGACTTTTAAGCATAGTTTGGTGGTCTCCCGTGTAGTTTACCCTTATTTTAATTATTCATTCATTACTTATTCCAATTATGAATGTGTGCTTTTCCCTCCAAATTTCTCCCAACGATTATTTTTTTACCTGTATAATAAATATGAATAAAATAATTATTTTTAAATTTTCACTAAATTGTTATTAATAAATTAAAGAAAAAAATACTTCAATCCTAATTAATATCAAAGTTGCTTATTAAGCTTGTTATTCATATAACCCAGTTCAAAAAAAAATTGTTTTTGTTGTAAGTTATATTATTTTCTTATTTAGTTGTTCACTTTTTTTTCACATTGATACCTAGATATTTTTCCTTTCATGACACGACTTTCTTCACGTTAATACATGAATTTATCTATTTTATTCACATTGATACCTTTTTTTAACGATATTAAAAGGGACGTTGTGACGCTCTAAAATTGTATCACATGACCATCTATCTAAAATTAGAAAAATAGAAAAAAAAAACAGTAACAATTATCAAAATATAAGAGTTAGAAAAGATAAAATCATAAAAATGTACTAATGTGAAAAACGTAAACAAGTTTAGGTACTAATGTTGATGAAAAAATGGTTTAGCTACTAATGTAAGGAAAAATAATAGACTGAAGAAAATTCAGATACTAGTGTGAGAAAGACAAGTTTAGAGACTAAAATATAATTTATCCCTAACTAAAATTAAAATGAGGTAATACTCAACAATAGCTATCACCATAAATTAAAATTGAATGACAGTTATAAAGGAGGAAGAAAAAGAAAAAAATTGAGGGAAAAAAAAAGCAGCCCACGAGTTGGAGAATCTTGAAGCACATGGAATTATTATTTTCCCCTAGAGGTTGAAAAATGAAAGCACATGGACTTGGATGGTGGCACCAGGAAGGGAATGGAAGGCCTCCATTTCATTTAAAAACATTAAAACGCACAAATCAAGTGACATTGGTGATTAAAGAATTATTATTATCCCTTGAAGCTCCGGGTTTGAGCATCGCATATGTACAAGGATCGAAGTACTCATTGTCAAATGGTTAATAATCTTTGAACATATACTACATCGTATTCACTCCAGAATTATAAAAAAAACATTGAAACATACAACAATGTAGCAACCATGCCATGCATGTGTCTTGTTTAACTTGTCTATTTGCTTAAAAAGCCCCTTCTCAACACACTAATATTATATAAATATAAAATAAAGTACATAAATTATTATTAACATTTTTTTTTATTATTAAAATTTCAAAATTTCAAAATAATTATTTTTTATTACGTTATAAAATAGATATCTTACCTCTAAACTCCATTAACCTAACGATGGAGTGACTGCATTTCAACCTAAACTAAATAATTTCCACATAATACCACAGTTTTGGTTTTAACTTTTTGGTTCGTGAACCAAGTGTCCTATCATAAGCCTACTTCCAACATTAAGGCCTATAAAGGTCTATTTGAAAAGATGAAGAAACATGAAACTTTTCACTAAAAACAAAATTTTTATTTGGAAGATCATGGACGATCTACACAGTTTAAAGACCAAAAACAATGAATGGGGATATAGGTTTCCCAGAAGCAAAAACACAAATTTGGTTGCTGTTATGTTGACTAGGAAAGCAAGAAAATTTATTTAGCTTTAACTCACTAGTTCAATGAGGTTTGTAAGTTCCCTACCTGGGGTCTGAGGCACTGTTTGAGATGAATACTTGGAGATCAGGTAAGACTGATGCAAGTAGCATACGATTGAAGTACTGTTAATGCTTGCTCGGTGATGGCCCTATTCCTTGCTCGTTTCACCCAATCACCAATGATCTCCTCCGCTTGGCTACCTTTGACACCTTGTTCAAGTGTTCCAGCAGCTTCAGCTAGTTTTCCTTCAGCCAGGTAATTTTCAACTCTATTGATTATTGACTCGATTCCTTCACCAGATTCACCAACTTCTTTCACCTATTTGATAGTCAAAATGCATACATGAGAATATTTCAGCAACTCGGTTATATTATCATGTGAAAGGTCAATCCCAATTTTTGTACCTTTAACCAGGATGCAATATGTGCCAAAGAATGCGTCAAGATACCACCACCCCCTGGTGGAATGAGGCTGTAGTGCCTCAGGCTACCTTTCAAGGCATTAAACTGCAAGAAGAACATGTGTCAAACATTATGAATCAGTATCCAGAAGAATATCATTAAGGATCAAAAGAACTATTAATTATCACTGCTAGATAATTTAGGACATTCTGCCAGAGATGATTTGCTAATGCCACTGCATCAGTGATCTAGCTGAGACAATTTATACCGGGCAGGTAGATCATGTGCGACATAAAGAGCAGTACTTTCTTTTCCTGTATGAAATTAAACCAACAAGCACATAAAAGAAGAAATAAATTCGAAAGTATTCTTGTTCTTGACAATCTTATCCTCATCAAGCTCGACACATTGAACCAAACCACCACTTTACAGTAGTGTTTGAATATCAGTCTCAAATTCTATCCATCATAAAATACTTGATATTCGTTTAGTATCAAGTTGATAAGTTCATAATGCAAAAGAACCATTAACTCTAAAACAATAAGTAAACCTCCTTTGGGTTGCTTTGAAATGATGCATTTCGCATTGGTCCTCCCTCTTTTTTCGGTTAATATTATCTACAGGATAACTGAATTCAGTTCCTAGCAAATTCCTATCACAGCACCAAGCCCTATCAACTGAAGCAAACTAGGATTGCTATGGCAGTTACAATGTAAAGATCACCAAAGAAGGGGCTTCAGCTAGAGGCCTCTCACCTTGACAATCCAAAATAACACCTTAGTGCTTCCCTTCACAAATCACTATTGAGGAAATTCTTTCTTAAAAAATCAGACCTCGGGAAATTTGACTGCTAAACTACCTACATATTCTTTGTTTTTCAAAGAAAAACAGGAAGCAATATTCGGACACGATAACAAGGAGAACGGCAAGAGACGGGTGTGGAAGTAAGAGGGGTGGCAGAGAGCATTTTAGTTCAATTTATTTAGCATAAACACAGACACAAATATTAATGTAACACCAACTGGGTTATAAATTTTTCTATTTAAAGTCAGCAAAACAGTCATAAAATCACTCCTGGTTTTTGTGAATACTTCCCTTAGAAGAAGAAAAGAGTGACATATATAGCTAGAAGGGATGCAAGTGAATGGTGCCATGAGCATCCATCCACCCAGCTTTCAGGTTTTGGAAAAACTAAGATTTTATATATTTTTAGCCCGACTCTATAAAAGCATTTAAATAGTTCCACTTTTTGAAAAATATCATGCCAAAAGTAAAGCATACAGTTCTTGCAAAAATTTCTATGAAGGGCAAGCTATCAACTATGTAACAAAAAGATATTATCATTTGAAAGGCCTTGGAATTCACAACCATATATTTCTATAAGTACAGAACAACTTGCCTTTTGATTCAACTCCAGTAGAGTGTCTGTTCCACAATACCGAGTTTCTTCAGGAAGAGATGAAAGGACCAAACCTAATACTGAGTCCTTCTCAATGCCTTCAAGGTAGTTGTGTAGAGCATCTATTTCTTTCTGGATTGGTAATCCTTTAGCGAGGGCTTCTTCTAGCGCAAGCGCTCCCTGTAGGACCCAATTATGTTAAAGTTGTGGGGCAATAATTTACAATTGAGAAAAATTATTAGTAGGACTATCAATCATTATACAACATAATTCAGGTTCCAACAAAATGTAGACAAATAACATGAGACAGAACTATGAATCAAGTTGGAGAAGGTACCAAAGTGAGCTTGTGAATAGAATGACTCTTGTGTGCCTCTTCAGATCGTGCATAAAATGCCATACATAAAGCATGTATCTACAAAAGAATAATTCAGGCCATGGTTATGCCCTCTAATCACATCCTAATAATATAAAATATTTTAGATTATGAAAGTAATATTCGACTCGAGCAGATATAAAGTATAAAAACACATGTTTATTTCTCAACTTCAAGTTTATTTGAACAAAAAACAATAAACTAAGAAACGCATTTACAATTAATGTTTGTAGCTGATAACTAAAAGTTTCTGATTTAAAATATTTTTTTTAACTTTAGACATGCACATTGATCCTGAAATGATTGTTCATGTTTAATATTCAAAGCAATATATCAGAAACTATTCTAGCTTTCACTTCTCTTTCCAAAATAGGTAGTAATAGTTAAACTCCATTCTGCTTTCAGTAAAGTTGGAAACCCATTCACCATTTAGATCATAAATCAATACATTCCAGTAAATGCAAATATTAATAAAACTTTGATAGAAAAATATTTGATTTTCAGCTAGAAATTGCACAAGAGGCTAGTTAATTTGCTTCAGATCAATGAGCACTTGATGAGTTAAATTTTCAGCACAATGCATATTCAATTTTTACATATAACTTCAGGGTGGCGTGGTCACTTTGGAATAAGTTTCTGAATTTTTGAAAACTAAATTCGGTTTTTCATGACGATGTTCAAAGCTTCTTCCTAGCATGGAATGATATGGTGCCTTATTCCTCTATTTGGCCCTTTATTCCGGGAGTTGTTATTTGTACTATTTGGAAATGTAGAAATGCCATTGTGTTTGAAGGACGGAGCCTTGGTCAGATTGAGCTATTTTTCATGGCTAGATTCAGACTAGCTTCTTGGTTTTTAGCTAAGTTCAAGGAAGTTGATATTCCTAAAGACTCTCTTATTAGTGATCCTTCTATTGGAGATTTATGCTCTTCTTCTGGGAATTCGATTTTTAAAACCGTGCCTTGGGTTCCTCCTCCAAAAGGCTTTCTAAAATTGAATGTGGATGCGGCTGTTTGTGGAGATTGGTGAAAGAGTGGTATAGGTGGCTTATTAAGGAATGAGTATGGCGAGATAAAGGGTTCTTTCCAAGAGGCTTCGGGTCCAGGATCTCCTACTTTGATGGAGCTTTTAGCCATTAAGAGGGGTTTAACTTTCTTTTTTTCTACTCTTCAGAGATTCAAGAACAGATGGATTATTGAATCTGATAGTAAACTAGCAGTTGATTGGGTAAAGAATTTAGGTAGTTGTCCTGATGTTTACCTTTATCTAGTGAAAGGTATTACTGTCAGATTAAGAGAATTGGAGGGTATTATCAGATGGGTTGATAGATCAGCTAATATTGAGGCAGATAATCTAGCTAAGGCTGGTATTGGTTAGTTTTACTATTGAGTTCAGGATGTTTTAGTTTGAGTATTTCGGGTTGTTATTTGTAAGGGTCTTTGATGTTTTTAAACATTATGTAATTTCTCAGTTATTAATGAATTTTGAGGCACTCTTTTCCTTCTTCCGCTGATAAAGGAACTCCTTTTGGCGTTCCTTCAATCATGAAGGAGGTTTTTAACGAGGCCTCCACTTCCTATCAAATGTTTTTTTTTTACATATAACTTAAATATAATTATAGACTGCACAATGTCTATCAAACACATGGAGCATCACCATGCATAAGACAGAAAGCATGGAGGTTGATATTGCAGTAAGCTGAAAGCTAAGAGCATTTATGTATGGCACTTGGATTGACCTTTTTCCGTACATGCTATATGCCCGAAAGTAAGAGCCATGAGATTTTATATTACAACCCATCATATAAGAAAAATCTTGCAGCATAACTTTCAGATTTCCTTATTCCATCTTCCTATCAAATGTCACCGAAAGGAACTTCTAGTTCATATTTTCATCCTAAAATAGCGAGTTGTTCAGATTTTCATTAAAAATTTCCTCCAGGAGAAAGCTTACGTGAAGATTTGCTTCCGCCATTTTCTCAATCTGTGCTGCTTTCTCATTTGCAATCGCTGCAATCACTTCTGCTTTCCCTAGCTCCAGAGTTTTCTCCAACTTCATTTCAGCTTCTCTTTCCTGCAACAACCAAATTATAAGAACTTGAGTCCATGAATTATGAAATAATGTTATAGAATTTCTTTGTCAGCATTAAACTATCTACCTTCTCTTCAAGTTCAATCCTAATTTTCTCTTCCATTTTTTCTTGAAGGGATTTTATAGAAGCTGCTGCTTTTGTTCTTTCTCTCTGTAATTCCTGAAAGTGGTAAATTCAAATTCTTAGCAGCTTGAATTCACAAAATTAGATAAACACCTTTCTTTACTTTCACTTGCTTTTTTAACCCTTTCAAAGGGCATTTGTACATGTGAGTATACTCCATCTGCAACTGAAATGTGACTTTCTCAGGTAAATACAGCCAAAAAAAACCATGCTCATCAAAACCCAGAATGAATAGCTTAAGTTGATTAATATAAATTCTGGTGTAGAGGATAAAGCCCAATCAGATGAAATTGGGGTTGATTTTTCACCAATAAGGAAAATTATCCCTACTGGGCCTGCATTTATTCCTAAGTGGGTTGGGTAGAAGAATGGTACTGGTAGATTTATGCCCCAGCCCAATACCATTTCAGTTAATCATAGAGAAGTTGCAGAGGAGGGTGCAGTTACGTTGGTGAAAGAAAAGACAGGGGGAGAGAAAGAAATGTCAAATAGTGAGCAGGATGTTGATATGGATAAAGAGCAGCATGTTGGCTTGAGGAGTCGAGAGGAGAATGAAGCAGCTAATACACTGAATTCTAATGATTTTGAGAAAGACAAACTCTCTGTCCAACAGAGGGCTGGTTCAAAGAAGAATAAAAGGATAAAGGATGATAAACAGATTGGCCTGATTGAGGGTAGCTCTTCCAGCTCGTGTTAAGGCAGAAAAATGTAGTGAATCAAGTTGGAACTAGTTATGAGTCAATTATGGATGGTCAGTTCAAAAGAAAGGAGAATAGTTTGTCCTCTTCCAAAATTCCTGTTCAGCGTCCTCATCGGGCAAAAAGCCTAAATAATCAGAGGAGACTAAAAATTGCTCCACGACGTTCAGGTAGTGTGTGCTCAGAGAGGGAAGCGTCAATCAGTTTTTTTGATGGAGTTTATAGAAGGGTGTATAGAACTATGGTCAGGGATTCTTTGGAACAAGACAGATCATCCTCAAAGTCTTCACACTCTTCTGTTAAAGCTTTGAATGAAGCTGCTGCTACTAGAGAAGTTTGCAACATGTTAGGGATTAATTTCGAAGGGGGGCAACATTTGTTAAAAGAGGAGATTATGAAGATGGAAAGGAAGGGGTCTAGGAAAGAAAGGGAGTAATTTAGTCTTCCTTTTCAGGGGTTTTAAGATTTAATATTCCAATGTCAAGTCTTAAAGTTATTTCATGGAACATAAGGGGTTTAGGGAGAAAGGAAAAAGTAAGAGCAGTAGCCCATCTTGTAAATAGGGATAAACCGATTGTCTTATTTCTACAGGAGACGAAATTGAATCAATGTTTTAATGGGTTAAGAAGGAGATTAGGGGGTAAGATGCTTCAAGGACAAAGTTTTTATCCGGCTGATGGGTCAGCAGGAGGGTTGATGTGTTTATGGAATGAAACTTTTTTTCAAGTTACAAGGGAAGAAAAGAACAGCAAATTTGTGGCAATCTCAGGAATGTTCAAATTGTATAAATTTGAGTGTGTATTAATTAATGTGTATGGACCGTCAGTGAAGGAAGAAAAGGAGGAGTTCTTTAGGGAGCTGTTGAATTTTGTTACAAATTTAAACCTACCAGTATGCATAGAGGGTGATTTGAATGCTTATCTTAATCCATCTGAGAAATATGGTGTTGCACATAATTGACATGCTCTAGATCTGCTCAGATCCTTTGTTCAACAACCAAACCTCATTGATCTCCCTTTATCAGGAGGTATGTACACTTGGTGAAACAATAGAGAGTCTCCTACGTGAGTAAGACTAGATCGTTTTCTGGTTAGTAGTAATTTTTTACAGGGGTTCCCTAAATTGGTACAACGAATTCTACCCAAATCACTCTCTAATCATAACCCTATTGTGCTGGAAGAAGATGGGCAAAACTGGGGTCCCAAACCTTTTAGATTTTTTAACTATCTATTAAAGGAAGAAGGTTTTGATGATTTGGTTGAAAATTCCTTGGCTGATTTGAAGAAGAAGAGGTAGGGGAATTTTTAATTTATTAAAAGGTACTAAAATGAAAATAAGGAGCTAGTCTAGCAGTAAATATATGGGGATCTCAGAGTCTATTTTAGAAATTGATTCCAAAATAAATGACTTGGAATTGAAATCACAAGGTGTTGCCTTTTGTCCTCAAGATAGAGACCAGTTAGTGTTACTCATAAGTGAATTATGGAGACTGCACAGATAGAGGAGAGCATTTGGCGCCAGAAGTCTAGAGTGAGGTGGGTCAAAGAGGGAGACAAGAATACGAGGTATTTTCATTTAAGTGCCTTGAACAGAAATTAAATGCCATTAATGCTTTGAAGGTGGATGGTGTAGAATTGACAGATACAATTCAGATTAAGTCTCATGTCTCGGATTATTTCAAAAAAGCTTATAATACGATTAATACACTGGAAGTAGGAGAATTTGAACTTATTTTTGCAAAGCTATCTGTTGTGCAAAGGGATCGTCTTGAGGAGATTTTTACAAAACAGGAAGTTTGGGAAGCAATCTCTTCATCAGCTAGTGATAAAGCCCCTGGACCAGATGGTTTTACTATGGGATTTTTCAAGAAGTATTGGCCTATGTTAAAGGAGCAGATCATGAAGTTTCTATTTGACTTTTATAATGGAAGAAAATGGGACCATGGGGTTAATCATGCATTCATATCCCTAATCCCTAAGAAACTTAATCCAGAAAGTTTAGAAGACTACAGGCCAATTAGCCTTGTTGGCAGTTTATATAAGATCATTTCTAAAGTTCTATCCAAAAGATTGGTTTCTTGTATAAAAGATTTGGTTAGCCCTCATCAGTTCGCATTTATTCCTGGTAGGCAACTACTAGATTGTGCATTCCTAGCTAATGAAGGTATAGATTATTGGAGGAAGCAAGGTAGGAACGGGGTAGTCTTTAAAATTGATTTTCGAAGAGCATATGATACAGTTGAATGGCGATTCTTCTTAAAGTAATGAAAGCTATGGGTTTTGGAGAGAAATGGGTTTCTTGGATTGAATATCGTCTATCTTCTGCCTCAATTTCGGTTTTAGTTAATGGTTCTCCTACTGAGGAGTTCCCAATGACAAAAGGGTTAAGACAAGGCTGCAGTCTTTCCCCTTTGTTGTTTAATCTAATTGGTGAACTCCTACATCTAATGGTGATTAAAGCTTCTGATTTGGGACTTTTCCAGGGGTTTGATATTGGTAGATCAGTTAATCCTTTCCTTTTGACTCACCTACAGTTCGCTGATGACTTGATTTTGTTCTGCCATGACTCTCTTACTAACATCCAGAACATCAAAAGAGTGCTCAGGATTTTCAGTTTAATGACAGAGTTGCATTTAAACCTATCTAAGAGTAAGCTGTTTGGTATAAATGTTGAAGTTGATACCTTAAATGAATGGGCGAATGATATTGGATGCTCAGTGGGTTGTTTTCCTATGGATTATCTTGCTTTACCTATAGGTGCAAAGAAAAACTCTGAAGTACTTTGGGAGCCGGTTCTACAGAATTTTAACAATAAGTTAGCTGGTTGGAAGGCTGCTTCACTGTCAATGGCGGGCAGACTAGTGCTTATAAAATCGGTATTACCATCGTTACCGATTTTTTTCTTATCCATTTTCAAAATGCCGATCAAAGTAAGGCAGAAAGTTAATACATTGATGGCTAACTTTCTTTGGGGGGAAAGCTCAAACAAAAATCGAATGCACTGGGTTAATTGGCAGGCAGTTTGTAAACCTTTGGAAGATGGTGGCTTGGGAATTTTGAATTTGAATATCACAAATAGGGCTTTGTTGGGTAAATGGGTGTGGAAATTTGCAAATGAGAAAGATTCACTTTGGAAAAGGATAATATGCAGCAAACACAATGTTAGTACTTTATCTATGTCAATTAGCAACGTTGTTTTAACTCAAGATTCCTGGATTTGGAAAGGGATTGTGAACAATTATTTGAAAGATGATGACATTGGAGGATGTTTGAGATCTCATACTAAGATTCAATTGGGAAATGACAAGTCTATTTCTTTTGGAATGATGTTTGGGTCAATGACCTACCCTTGAAGATTCAATTTCCCAGGATATTTGCATTATCAAACAACAAAAGGGGTAAGGTGGCAGATTTTGGTTGCTTTGATGTAAATGGATGGGTGTGGAATGTTCAAACAAGAAGAAGCTTATGTGATTGGGAATTGGACCAATGGATCGAACTAATGGCAACACTAAACTGTTTTAATTTATCTGATTCAGTGGAGGATTTTCTTTCTTGGTCTGGGAAGGGGGATGGTCTGTTCTCGGTGAAATCCTGCAAGGTGGCTCTATCAAATAGTCAAGGAGGTGGTTTTTCTTGGAAAAGATGGGTTTGGTCAGTTTTCGCTCCTCCTAGAGTAGAAACCTTCCTTTGGCAAATCATACACAAGAAATTGACAGTCAGAAATGAGCTGAAGAAAAGGGGGTTCCTATGGAAGACGCACTATGTCCACTATGTAAAAAGAATGAAGAAACAATCAAGCATCTTTTTTTATCATGTTCAGTTGCAGGGGATATTTGGAACAGATTGTTGAAGATTTGGGACATCTATACAGCTTTGCCTAATGATCCACAAGTTTTGCTAAGTTCATGGTCTGATTTAAACAAAAACTCACACATATGGAAATTCATTCCGGGAGTAGTTCTTTGGTCTATTTGGAAAGCAAAGAATTCAGTTGTGTTTGATAATTCTAGCCTTGATATAACCTCTCTTTTTCCTAATAAGATTTATGTTGGCTAAATGGTTTCTAGCTAAGTTTCCCAATATCCAAATACAAGTTGATTTGTTGGTAGGGACCCCTCTCTAGCAGACAGGTTTGGTTATCATAATACTCATAGGTTTTTGAAACAAAGTTGGCAGCCCCCCCAATAGATTTTTATAAATTTAATGTTGATGGGACTGTCAAGTCTAATGGGATGGCTGGAGGAATTGGAGGTATTTTGAGAGACTGTAATAGTATCATTCTATCGACTTTCTCTGTTAGTATCGGTCCAGGCCCTCCTCCGTTGGCTGAACTAAAAGCTATTAAGAAAGGCTTAGACTCTTTTCTATCATCAGATTGGGCTGTAAAGGGAAGACTGATCCTAGAAAGTGACTGTAAATCTGCAGTAGACTGGATTTTGCTGCCTAATTCTGTTCCTAGTTTCTTCAGTTCACTTGTTGAGGATATTGTGTCCTTAGTTCAAGAGAGGGCGGTTATTATTCGATGGATTTCTAGGGGATGTAATTGGGAAGCAGATAAATTAGCTAAGGATGGGATTGGTTGATTGTAAGGGTATTTATATAGGATGTTTTAAGATTATAGTTTTATTTTGTTGCCCTAAATGTATTGGTGTACTTTATTGTAATAGTTTCTCTATTCAATAAACTAAGACACTCTTTACCTCCTTCCGCTAGTTACTCTTTCCTAGAGTTAACTAAGAGGGAGGTTTTTAATGAGGCATATTATTCCTATAAAAAAAATAAGTTCTGGTGTAATTTCATTATCTAGCATAAAAAATAGAGAAACTAGTTGGGGCTGGTTTTCCCCATTAATAGCTTTTGGCCTCCTTTATTCCTTACGAACAAATCAACAATTGCTCCAAATTGATAAATTAACACTTGCCTTTTGTAATATTTTACACACAGAACAGTAAAAATCCAAATATATAAAGTATAATAAAATTGCATGAACTCCATAACATGGGATAAAAATTTCTTTATGGTGAAAATGCTAAGAGGTTCAACTATCAATCACTATTTAGCATGTCAATATATGTAATGATACGGGCATATGGGTGATAAAGCACTACAGAACAATCAGCATTTAATCAAATTGCTTGTGTTAGAGCATCAGCCCTCCCATTCTGCCTCATGTTCAGCCCTGATATACAGATTCTAGGGATACAAAAAAACAAGCGGATTCACAACAAGAATTAAGCATAAACTTCAAATGGGAGTCATAATGGCTGTCACAACTAACAAGCTTAAAGAGAAAGATATATTTGTGGTAGAAACCAGGTTATCAAATATGTGTCACTCGTAAAGTGGATGGTAGGAAAAACAAATCCTCTTCAGGCTGATTTCATTTGAAAGACAATAACAAAAGAGTTGGAACTTTACTTACCTTTTATTTTCACTAAAACATAAAGAAAGAAACTACTGTAATGATTTGCAAAGCAAGAGCAAGAGATAAAAAATAAAAAAAGTGAGAGCAAATAAAAATTACCATATCATAAAACTGAGAAGCAATGACCAAAAGCTTTGCAATCAATCACAGGAAATATAATATGAACAATGAAAAATCTATAACCTTATCCAATATAGCTGCCTCTTCTGTACGCATTAGTTCCCTGGCTCTTGAATCCCTTAATTCCTTTTCATACATCTCCTGGAGAGAGAGAGAGAGGCATTAGCAAACAGTATGTGATAATCAGAGTGAAGTTGCAGAAATAAAGAAAGCAGATAATTTGTACTGGAGCTTAGTGCTCAAACTTTGGACCTTCAATGCTCTCTTCTCCTCAGCAAAAGCATGTGCATCCAGCTCAGCTTGCCGCTTTTCAGCAGCATGAATGGCTTGCAAGAAATCAAGAACTAATTTTCCATCCTTTGACAAATATCCATCATCCAGTTCCTCAACTGATGTACCAAAAGCCTAATGTGTTAAAAAGAATGAAAATCGCATGTTAGTTGACACTCTTGCTTATCATATTCATTAAACAGCAAATGAGATATGTATGTAACCTCTGTTTCTTTAGAAAGACGCTCATATTTTCTATTTAGAGAAGCCAAATAGCTTTCATCTGCCTCTTCACTAAGGTGATAGGTTTCAAGAAGAGAACTTGGAGTTTCTCTATCTTTACTGAATTTATCCTGCAGCAAAGCAAAACAAAATGTCATTTTGTATGAAATCTACTAGAATAATGGAGAAGCTACATATACATCCATACATATAAATATCGATATATTCAATAGTGAATCAGGAGCGGCTCGTGCTTTTGCCACCTCTATGACAATGTTCCCAGACACAAAGGCATAATAGAAACCTTAATCCCTCAGATGTTGCAATCCTAAGCCTGTTTTTTAGGGGTCATGCCTCCCTATAAAGTTTTTCCTTGCCTAGAAAATAAAAAAGGAAATTAGAATAGTTGTTTGTCACCCTAAACCCTATATTAATAAAAAGAACAGGATCTGTTCAAGCTTTTGTCACCACACATGACAGTCTTTCCCTATCTAAACACACATAAATGAGGATTTTAAGTGGTTAAATGTTACTACCATAAGGCAGCTCTTGGGGGTCAAAACCCCTCCCTATAGAGCCTTTCTTTGCCTAGCAACTAAACGAAGAAATACATGTTATTTGTCATCCGGAAGCATTAGCTATGTATTAAAAAGCAGTGGACATCTTCTAAATTATAAGCATATAAACTCACAAACAAAGTGGAGAAAGCCTTCCAACCATACTACCCCCCCCCCAAACAAACCACAGTGTGCTGAAGAGCATAATAAATATAAGCTCATGATAAAAAATATATATATAAGGTACATTCCAAAGTATGTAAAATTCAGACAATGAGAATATGAACAACCCTGGAAAGAGTTTTTAACAAGCTTCATGGACCAACTTCCAAAGAATAACAATGGTTTGTGTTGCTACTCTGAAAGGTTACAAATCAGAAACAACGTAAAATGTAGGGTAAAAAGAGAAACGGATGAAGGGAACAAAGGATACCTCTGCAGTGGGAGGTAGAGATGGAACAGATTTTAGTTGGCTTTCTCCAGGGCCTAAATCATGGGCTTCTGCACCTTTACTTGGTTCATCCTGAAACAGTAGACCACCAAAAGTGGATAATATTGAGCCTGTACAATGTAAGTATCCTTGACAAGATAGTAATTTTCCAGTGCCTAGCTAGTTAAATCAGTTAAGCCTCAGTCTCTTTGTTAATGGAAACTTCCACATAAACAGATGAGGCCAATTCCATACTAGAAAACAAGAAAAGGGACTATGGTTCTTTGGCATCCTGAAACATTTCTTTATGCAACCATGAATAAAATTACAAAGCACTGCTAGATTCCATGGCTCATGTAAGTTATATTAAAAGAAATATGAATATGCATAGATACATGAAAGACAATGGTCATGGTGTTTGTCGGCAAACAAGTGACAATTGGCTAAGTATTGCTATCATAACTGAGTTCATATTGAAGTGCATCTGATTATCCTTTTAATAGAATAATATTTGCTTGCATAAGCATCACACCATAAAATACAATCTGCATATAGGTGCTTGAATCAATCTTCAAAATTTAATAAAATCAGTAACTCCAATCAATCTGTATCAATACAAATATAGGGTGCAGAAAAAAGGTACCTGCAGCCCAGCTGCTGTAGTAGGAGATGGTGCAGTTTTGGTCTCCTTCTTTCCAATGGATTCACTTGATTGGGTATCCAATGGAATATTTTGGATTTCCTTGTTTGGTACCGTTGCAGGTTCAGACTCAACCTTTTTAGATTCTCTTCAGCTGATGCAGCAACATCTGCAGTGTGATCAGCAGATGGCAAGCTGCTCTGAGAATATTCTGGTAATGCCTGGTCTGGTAAAGTTGTTGTGCTTTCACCAAGTATATCACTCGACTTATCTTCCACATCCGACTGGTTTTCACCTTGGGTTTCACTCAAAGTTTCGGGCTGAGGAGGAAGATCGATATTAGTTGCAACTTTTTGCTCAGGCAAGTCCACATAAGGAGGCAATTCTTCATTACGAGAAGAAACAACCTGGATATCCTTTTCATTTTTCCCATCAAAACCAATATTTGTCGAATCAACAGAAACCTTGGGGCCTTTTCCATATTTCTCGAAGTATCCAGCTTGGTAAGCAATCAAAATAGCACCACTAATAACAGCAGTTCCAACTCCAAGGGCAAAATTTGAAACCCCACTCTTTGATTCAGGTTTCGAATTACCATTTTCCCCAGCAGAGGTCGAAAATTGCTTCCTTGAATAAATAAATGGCGATAAACGCTGCATTTCCATCATGCATCATAAAAAGAACAATTATAAAAATAGTACATAGGACCTCAAAATTGATACTGAAACTCAACATGGTTGAACTTACCTGGGACGCAATCTCCCTGGGTATTCTCCAAGGAGTCCCTCGGCAACGTGATAACTGAAAAATTGACCTTCGAAGCATACCGACGGATTTTTCCCTTTTGTTGGTGTTTAGAAATTATATTGCGGAGAATGTGTTTGTGAAAATGACTGGCAGAGGAAGTGGGGATTCTTAATGGAGGAGTCGCTTCGGGTTAGGCTGTTGGCATTGAAACCAATTGCCTTCGATTTAAGTCTTTTGTGGGGCTGAGCGAGCCAGAGCACGATCGCTTTCCCGGGTAGCCGAAGAGGAATCGCCGTTGGAGGCTTGGATCATGAAGATGAAACTGCAGGTGGATCAGCGTGCGACTGGCAGTTTGTAATTTCAATATTTTTTTTCGTTTTTAAATAATATTTATTTTTTAAAAAATACACAATAAGTAAATTTTGGAACACTTGTTAACAATGTTATTTGAACCTTTTTAAAACATTACAAATTGATTATCTAGTTAATTGACTTCGACTTTTTAATGTTTATTAATTTTTTGATATAAAAAAATGATGTTATTTCTTAGTATTAAATCAACCAAAATGCCATTTCATATTATAACATAATGGTTTTATAAGATGACCAAAAAAAAATCATTCATTATCGGTTAATATTTGGTGTAGTATACCGTAAATATATATAATTTGAAGAACGATAAAATTTAAACCTTAAATAAAAGGTGTTAATTCTATTTAATCGTTAAAATAAGGGTAAATTATATAATTGATCACTTTTGTTTTGTTTTGTTTTAATTCTATTGAAACGTTAGTTTGATGACATGACACGTTAGTAAAAGAGTTAATTTTTATTTGAACCTTGAATTTTAGATAAATTACTAATCATGAGTCTTTTTGTAAACTCAAAATAGTTCAGGGATAAAATGCCAGTTTATCCATTTTTCCATTTGTTTTTCTTTCCCAAACCATCTTCTCCGCCGCTCCCCCCGGTTCAAACCATCTCTTGTTAGTCCTTCTCGAAACCTCCACCAACTGACAGAAGATGGGCAATGGAGTTCCTTCCATGGCACCGTTCGACGCCATCTCTTCTCTTTCGAACTTCTTCGAAAACAGAGTACTTACAATCCACCAATCATAACAACAAACATGGTGACAGTAGCAAGTCCATTGGTGTAATGATGCCTAACCAGATAACCTTCGTACCAAAAGAGAAGAGCATAACAACAAAGTAAGTCGCCCCCAATCCCATTCCCTTTGCGAATCCGGTTTTGTAACCGAGCTTTTGAGCAACCTTCAACGCCGAAGAGTAGACGTGTAATGCTCTTGACTCGCCAACAAAAGCCATAACAACCCGAATTTGAACCATCATCTGCGATTAGAAAATACCAAGATGAGAAGGAAAATATGGGAATAAAAACTCAAAATTTGCACCCTTTTTTACATGTTCTACAATATTTTCCCCTTGAGATTGTCTTTCAACGGAGAGCTTGGCTAATGTGGTGGTATGGATTGCTCCAATCACAGCAATGAGAGGAACCACTGCAAGCGTGATCAAAGCCAATTGCCATACTGCTGTAAAACCCACCACAAAACCAGAAGAAGATAACTTTATTTTTCTCAGTGAATTTGAATGACCTGCCCATGAAGATGCCCAAATTGTAGCACCCACCACAAGGAAGTAAAATGCATACTACACACCGATTACCAGTGGTTTAGAGATGAAGCAGGGGAAGCGGCGGGAAAAAGATAGATCTGGGGAAGAAAACATATAAAAAAAGGTAAATTGATAGTTTATCCCTGAACTATTTTTGATTTACAAAAAGATCCGTGATTAGTAATTTATTTAAAGTTCAAGTGTTCAAGTAAAGATTAAATCTTTTTACTAACGTGTCACATCGTCAAACTAACGGAAGTTAACATTTCAATGACCACATCTTAATTAAAACATAACGAAAATTGTCAAACTAACGGAAGTTAATGTTTCGACCACATCTTAATTAAAACAAAATGAAAGTGATTACGAATTGTATTTTTTTTAATCCAATTACTATACATTTATAAAATTGAAACAAAAGTGATCAACTCTATAGTTTACCCTTAAAATAATAAATTATATATTTTCTTAAAAAATATAATATATTTTTCTAAATTACCAGTTTCGTCATCCACTTATTATTTAATTTCTATTTTGGTCTCCTACCTATTATTTTTTTCAAAATCATACTTAACATTACGTTTTAATTCTGTTTTGATCACTCGTTGTTAAAAAATTAATAGTGATGTTGATGTGGCATTTTTAATTATTTTGAAGTGTTGATGTGGTATTACCTTATAGTGACACGCCAGTATCATTGTTAATTTTTTAATGAGAGTGACCAAAAACATAATCAAAACGTAACGTTAAATATGATTTTAAAAAAATAATAGTTGGATGACAAAAATAGAAACTAAGTAATAGGTGAGTGACAAAATATGTAGTTTACCCTACATTTTATTCAACTTTATTTTTAAAGATCAGAGTCTTATGTGACGTGAATAACTCCTAAAAGATTAGAATTTATTTAAGCATTTGGCATTCTTTTCCTATTAAAAATTTTATAAAACATTTTGTAAGACTAATTTCATGGGCAACCTTTATATTTTATATTGATTATATTATATAAAAATATTATTTAACAAAATTATAATCCTTAAATAAAATTTATTAATAACTTATCATTAAATTTTTATTTTATAAATAAGTGTTTTATATAAATTTAAAACTCTGAAAAAATAGCCAAAATTAGAATTTCAGAAAAATTAAACTTAACCTCTCATTTATTTAATTCAATATCACCAGACATCATCAAATTGTTTTTAAACTCTAATGTCATTGGTTTTCTTCCATCAGTCGTAGCTAAAATTAGTAGAACAATAAAACCTAATAATATCCCACTCATAAAACTCTCCTTTTATGTTGTCCATTTTCCCTTTCCCTTGACTTTGTTGCAAACTAGGGTTTTTATGCATTGAAATTGAGATTGTCAGATTATATTTCTCGTAATCTTTTTCTTCAAGTAAAATCGTGAGTTCCCAAATATATAATCTTGTGAGTACTTTAATCTTTATTTTATCTCTATCGTTTCTTTGTGGATAATTTTCGGATTTGTTTTCATTTTCAAAAACAAAATTTGGGCTGGAAAATAGCTGGTTTTAATTTTGTTGGATGCTTATGGAATTGATTATGTATTTTTTTCTCTTTTAAACTCTTTTAAGGTAAATATTTCATTGTTTAAATGTTTATGGCATCTTTCTTTCTGGCTTCTTAATTCTTATCATGTGATATATAGAAATTACTTTTTAAATAAGTTGATATTTGTGTCCAACTTATAGAAATTAGTAATTATTTATAAATTTTAAGGATCAAATCGATGTAACAAAGATTAATTATTATCTAAAAAGATGGGGAAAATAGATATGAACATTAAATAATAATAGTTTTGTCTCTGGTTGAAGTCTTATAAAAGAGGTTAATATTTATAAAAAAATATTAGTTTATGATTTCATGATTTTGACTTAATATTTCTTAGAATCAATTTATTGAAAGTGTAGTAATAATAACTGGCAGATGAAATAAAAATATATATATAACGAGATTATTATTTGATATGTTAATGATGTAGGTTTTTAATTCTCGAATGACCTTAGTTCATTGTTATATCTCCTTAAATACGATTAACTTTTTTATTTTTAAACTTATAACTGTAAAATTAGTTGTAAACAAAAACATAAAAATTGTTTTTGGGCCAGTCAATATTGCTTTATTTACTTGGTAAAAATAATTAATTTATTTAATATATAAAACTAGTATATTTATATAACAACTTTTTTTGTATATGAGTTTTCAACAGCCCTTCCAACTAATTATAAGTATGATTTAACTTAATTTTTGTAGTTTCTAACAGCTTTCTTTGGCCATGTGTCCATCAATCGTGGGTGTTCGTATTCCACTGCATGTATATAATCGTTTCCTTGTTGATTTCTAGTGAATGACTGAGAAAATATAATGTGTTGAACAAGGCATTGAAGCATGTCGTCAGAGTTCCAAATACTCGATAATCGACCAATCGATAAATGGAAGGTGGTAGAGTTGAGAGAAGAACTCAAGAGACGGCATTTGACAACTCGAGGCTTGAAAAAGGATTTGGTAAGACGCTTAGATGCCGCTGTTAGAACCGAGAGGAAAAAAGCTGCAAACGAGGCAACTAATGGTTTTAACAATGGCGATTCTCAGCCTGTAGTTGAACAAGGGACTGAAAAGGTCAAAGAAGTTGTGGATCATGGTGGGTTAAAGATTCAGGACAATATTACTGATTGTGCGGCTGCTTCGGATCATGGTGTAGTTGAAGAAAAGGACATATTGATGGAAGGAGAACATTTGACGAGCTCGAAACTAGAAAAAAATGTGAATTCTAACATACAAATTGAGTGTCAAGATCCAATGGTACCTGAGCCAAAGGATGATATAATTGATGATAATGTCAAAATAAGTCTAGATGTTGTTAAGCCGGAGATGGTGGAACCGTATTCATCCACTGGTCCGGGTCATGGAATTGTTGAAGAAAGGGATATATTGGTGGAAGATGAGCCTGTTATTCAGGCCACCGTAGTTAAGACCGTGATACCTGAGGTACCATTGACTGGACAGCATTTGCAGAGCTCGGAACAAGAAGAAAATGTGAACTCTGACATGCAAACGGAGAGTGATGATCCTAAGGCTCAGCTAGAGAATGAGAATCAAGAGGATGACATGCATAAGAAATTTGATGTAGGAGATGATGGTGGTTGTGAGAATGAGGAGTGTGGGTTGAAGTTTAAAGATGATATTACTGATTGTGTGGCTGCATCTGGTCATGGAGTGATTGAAGGAAGTGACATGTTGGTGGATGATACGGCCGCGGTAACAGAGGTGCCACTGATCGGAAAACATTTGAACAGCTCGAAACAAGAAGAGAACGTGAATTCCAACATGCAAATGGGGAGTCGAAATCGAAAGCTTGAAGAGGAGAATGGAAGTCCAAAGCTTGAGGCGGGGAGTTATGATCCTAAGGCTCAGCTAGAGAATGAGAATCAAGAGGATGACATGCATAAGAAAGTTGAAGATGTAGTGGATTATGGAGGTGGTGAGAATGAGGAGTGTGAGTTGAAGTTTAAAGATGATATTACTGATTGTGTGGTTGCATCTGCTCATGGTGTGATTGAAGAGAGTGACATGTTGGTGGATGATAAGGCCGCGGTGACAGAGGTACCATTGATGGGAGAACATTTGCAGAGCTCGAAACAAGAAGAGAATGTGAATTCAAACATGCAAACGGAGAGTCAAGATAAAAATCTTGAAGTGGAGAGCGGGAGTCCAAAGCTTGAGGAGGAGAGCGATGATCCTAAGGTTCAGCTAGAGAATGAGAATCAGGAGGATGACATGCATAAGAAAGTTGAAGATGTAGTGGATCATGGTGGTGGTGAGAATGAGAAGGGGTGTGGGCTGAAGTTTAAAGATGATGTTAGTGATTGTGTGGCTGCATCTGGCCATGGAGTGATTGAAGTGATATATTAGTGGATGATAAGGCCTCAGTAACAGACGTACCACTGATCGGAGAACATTTGCAGAGCTCGAAACAAGAAGAGAATGTGGATCCTTACATGAAAACGGAGAGTCGTGATCGTAAGATTGAAGAGGAGAATGGGAGTCCAAAGCTTGAAGTGGAGAGTGGTGATCCTAAGGTTCAACTAGAGAATGAGAATGAAGAGGATGAAATGCATAAGAAAGTTAAAGATGTAGTGGATCATGGTGGTGGTGAGAATGAGGAGTGTGAGTTGAAGTTTAAAGATGATATTAGTGATTGTGTGGCTGCATCTGGTCATGGAGTGATTGAAGAAAGTGACATGTTGGTGGATGATACGGCCGGGGTAGCAGAGGTGCCACTGATCAGAAAACATTTGCAGAGATCGAAACAAGAAGAAAATGTGAGTTCTAACACCCAAATGGAGTGTCAAGATGGAAAGCCCCCAGTGGAGAATGAAAGTCCAAAGGTTGAGGTGGAGACTGATGATCCAAAGGCTCATCTGGAGAATGGGGATGACATGCTTGACGCTTCTTCTTTGAACAATCAGGCACCTGAGATCAACCCAATTTCAGGGTCTCTAGCAAAATCTGATTATATGTCAAGTAGTGAAAAGATTGAAGTAAAGGATAATCTAATTGATGATAATTTGAAACTAAGCCAAGATGTTGTTAAGCCAGAGATGGTGGTCGAACCATGTTCATTTAGCAATGTGTCGTAACCGATTTTCGTCCGGGCACGAAAAATTTAACTTGACGGGAAAAGTGATGTGAATAAATGGTTTTGAAAATAATTTGGGAGTCGTCATCGGCCTTTTGGGTCAGGTAGGTCGAATACCTAAAAAATATCTTTTAAAAAAGTTTTTAAGAAAACATCAATTAAAAGATAAACTGATCTGCGTTTTAACCAAAAAATCGTTCTTTTTAATAATAAAAAGGGATTCGTGGTCGGTTACGTTTAGGGAATGATTAGCACCCCTACAACGCCCAAAATTGGTACTTTTTAATTATAAATTGTCTCTATTATTAAAAATTCAAAATTCAAAATTAAAAATATATTTAATTTAGATTTATTACTATAATTTTAAGTAAATTTATTAATTTATATAAATAAAATATTTATTTATTAAGAAATATCAGAAAAGGACTTCTAGGTGCCTTAAGACAGCTCTTTTCTTCGATATTAAAAAATAAATAAATATAAAAACATTTTTCTAAAAATAATAATAAAAAATATATTAATATAATTTATAAAAGTAAGATGTTTATTTATTTAAAATATCAGAAAATTGACATCGAGTTGCTTTAAGACTGCCATTTCTTAATATTTAAAAATAAGTAAACATTGTTATCTAATCGAATTAAAATTTTATAATATTGCATTTCATATAAATATTAGTGAATAAAAATATAAATAATAAATATATGAATAAATAAATACTATACTAATTTAAACATAAATGATAAAAATATATAAAAAATGACCAAAAGAAAATGATATCTAAATTAATGAACCTAACTAGAAATATAAAAATATATTTAATAATAGTGTAAATATCCCTTTAT